AAATGGGATTTAGGGTATCTAATGATAATGTAGACAGATGGGACACCAAAATGACTAACCATGTGAAGCAGATTAGGTCAACTTCTACTCCTAGCTTATGCATATCCAACAAGACAAGAAATGATAAAGAGGACAAGATGGCAGGAGGAAGGGATGGGAGGAAGTTCCTGGAGATAGTTATGATGGGATGTCAAAATCCGGAGGGATACAGAGGTCCAAAAAAGGAGGGAGCTTACTACAGGAGCAGTGAGGATGGAAGATGGAGACCATCTTCTTCTGCTTACCTGGGATTGGCTTGCAGGATTTACCAAGGACCTGAAATTAAATTCAGCAAATAATTTCTGAGCTTCTGTGATGTACCCAGTCCTGTGCTAAGATGAGTAACCGTGGGCCTGCACCACTGACTGCAGCCTCACAAAGCAGCCCTGTCATGGCCACCCCACCACTACTAGAGCGCAGATCTATGGCCCTTGGCACTCTGAATTTCTTAAACACACTTTCTTTTTATTTAAGTCACAGACCTCAGGGGAAGATCCTGTTCTTTTCAAACAACTTCCGAGCCAACCCTCATCCCACCCTGAGGTTGCACCTGAGTTGGGTAGTTGACAAACTGTAGCGCTGAGTTGCTGGAGACCATGGCACCCAAATAGGAGATAGAACAGGCAGCATAGAGCCAGCTCCGAGTACGATCCACCCTGGCAGTGTCAAAAAACTGGATCACTGAGAGAAGACAAAACAAAAAAATAAAACAAACAAACAAACAAAAAAAAACCCCAAGAGAAGCCTGGTGGGCCTAAGATGGACCACTGAGTAAAAGTCAAAGCCACATGAAAGGAACTTGTCTGTCAGAGCAGACGAATAAAAGTCAAAGCCACATGAAAGGAACTTGTCTGTCAGAGCAGACGAGAAGCACACGTTATTTCTGTCCTCTAAGATTATTCAATTCTCCAATCCCACCTAAGTCTAACACAAGACCACATAATGGGCAGGGGAGCGGGGCTCCTTTAATTCAAAGGACTAGTTAGCCCTGCTGATAGTTCCCAAGGAACAAAGAAAGATCAAAACATGCTTGAAGTTGACACATAAAGGAAAATCAAAAGAACAGAGAAAAAAAATTTAACTATTCTCAGTAGGCATCTGGAACAAGAAGACCCATTCTCTGTACGTTTCTGACTCAGAAGTTGGTCTTATTTAAGAAAATAGGGTTTTTAGACTGAACAGAGACTGTGTAAAGGGGGTGGGGTCTCGATAGTTAGACCTAACAGTTGGATCACTGCCTAATGCCCAAGATACAAAGGGGAGGTGGGCACACAACATTACTATACAGGTACTCACAGATCTTGGCAAACACAGCATTGATCACACACTGGATGAAGACCAAAGTTAAGGCAAAAGTGAACGTCTCCTGCTTGGCTCCCTCCCCATACCTTCCTCTTGTTCTAAGAAAGAAAAGTGTGAGAAAGAAAGGGGAGGAATCAGTGTCATCATTCAGAGCCACTGAATGCTTTGAAAATATCTTGCCACCCTGGTAAGGATCAGTGGGCTTATTTACAAAAGGGGCTAGTTTTATCGGATCTAGAAACTAGACAGCCCAGTCTGCTGATCCCGTTGCTTAGGGAAAAGTATTGGTAAAGGATAGAGCTAGAGGTAACGTGGAAAAGAGGATGGTGAAACGAGGTACCCCAGGAAGGAGATGAAGGGACTTGGGCTACATACAGCAGCAATGCCGTGGATAGGAACATTAGCTGTTTAAAAGCATCTGGGATGCTCCTCCTTCCGAAGAGGAGCCGACACAGGTCATGGAAACCTCAGCCTGTAAAACCCTTAGAGTTAACAAGGGAAAAGCAATTAAGGGAAGAAAAATAACCAAGTCCTAAGATTCCGGAGACCACCTTGGGCATTCTGGAAATCTGGGTTAGCTCAGCCGCAGCTGCAGGAGGGCAAAGGCAAACAGGGGACAGAGGTGGGAAGAAGGCGAACCCAGCCACAGGAGGAAAAGGAGACGGGATAGCGGGGGATGTCTGCGGTCTGGCCCCTCTGCTGATCCCGTTGCTTAGGGAAAAGTATTGGTAAAGGATAGAGCTAGAGGTAACGTGGAAAAGAGGATGGTGAAACGAGGTACCCCAGGAAGGAGATGAAGGGACTTGGGCTACATACAGCAGCAATGCCGTGGATAGGAACATTAGCTGTTTAAAAGCATCTGGGATGCTCCTCCTTCCGAAGAGGAGCCGACACAGGTCATGGAAACCTCAGCCTGTAAAACCCTTAGAGTTAACAAGGGAAAAGCAATTAAGGGAAGAAAAATAACCAAGTCCTAAGATTCCGGAGACCACCTTGGGCATTCTGGAAATCTGGGTTAGCTCAGCCGCAGCTGCAGGAGGGCAAAGGCAAACAGGGGACAGAGGTGGGAAGAAGGCGAACCCAGCCACAGGAGGAAAAGGAGACGGGATAGCGGGGGATGTCTGCGGTCTGGCCCCGGGGATCCGGCTCACATCTTTTCCTGCAGGATCCCATAGTAGAAATAGCAGACAAAGACGCCGAGGAAGCAGAGCGGCAGGCGCAGCCGGTCGGGCACCAAGGAGCTGCTAGCAGCCATGAGACGCCCGGACGACCCGACCCGAGACCCGCTCACAGCCGGCAGCGGCGGCGGCGGCGGCAGCTCCACACGGACATCGCCGACCGGCGACAGGGACCTCATAGGAACTGCATGCGACAGCCGCTCAGCAGGGCCTAGCAGCCACCGCCAGAACTGCCAGCTCACGGTCGCAGAGAGAGAAACTCCTCAGAACCGAACAACCGCTTCCAGGAAAGGAGATCCACCCTGGGTCATTGGCTTCGTCCCTGTTGGCCAGAACAGCCAGCTTCCCCGAGAGTAATGCCTTGCCTTGGAGATCTTCCGATCAGGCAACTCTGAGGACAACTGCGACCCAGAGTTCGACGGGATGGCCTAGGAGAAAAGCTGCCGCGGTATGATGACGTATGATGATGTGGAGGTCACCAATTGGTTGCGCTGTGCGAAGACAGACAGGTGAGCGGGAGGGAGGAGGTGCAGCCTGCTGGGCAAGTAGAAAAGCCTTTTTCGCTGCGGGCGGTCAGGCTTCCGCTTGGAACCTTGGCGCCCTCTAGCTGCTGCCCTGCCTCCGAGGCTCTACCCCTTCTAGCAGAGGAGCGTTCCTCTTCCTAGGGAACGTCACTAGGCTTCCAAGGGCGGCAGGGCTCTTGTCCCAGCTCTGTCACTTAAAGGCAGGGTAACCTACGCCTGTCATCTGAATTGAGAGCCAGTTTTCCCAGTCTGTAAACTAGGGATAACTAGTAATAGCCACCTTGTCACCTTTTGACTCTTCTGAGGATCAAATGAGCTGAGGTTTGTGAAAGTGTCTTATGAAACTGTATAGTGTGCTGTGCAAGTTTAAGGTATTATTAGTCATTACCCTTTCTCGACTCTGATCTTATTTCCTCACATCCTGGAGGTGGAAATGGAAGTTTACTTAAGTGAATTTTCTTCACGGTGTTACAACTCAGCCACAATGGCGCAAACCCTCACACTGCCCTTCCATTAAGCTCCTTGTCAGGCTCTTCCCTCACCCGTGTTAGTAGGCCACTATGTGCTAGCACCCAGAGCTAGGGCAAGAACGACCCCGGCGTTTTCCACTGCCACCCCCAAACTCCCACTTAATTACCCGACTCTGGACTTCTTGCTCTCTGGGTAGGGGCTGCTCCTTTGGCACAGCCTCAGGCAAAGGAAGGAAACTCGGGGCAGCACCACACCCATCACTCCGGGCCTGACTCACTAAGGTTTGGGGGTAGGCCAAACATCTTTCAGGGGGAGGGGTAAGAGATCAAAGATAGGGTCTGTCCTCAAGACCTCCTTTCTCTTAGCGTGGGAGGGGGACCCCACATATTTGCTCTCTTGCCTAGTGGCTTAGTCCACTGAATCAGCCCATGATTCCAGGGCACCCAGCAGCAGCTAGGGTTCCCGTCCCAGCTCTGCCTCTTCCAACAACTCACTTGACCTGAGTCGGTTCCTCATCTGAAATTAATGCGAACAAGCAGGAGAGTGCTGAGGTTAGAAGCATGGGCACTGGACTGAAATGACAGGGTTCCCAATCCTAGCTCCCCCACTTGCATGTGTCTTTGGGGTAAAGTTATTTTATCTATCCTTCCCTCATTAGCACAGTGGGACTTACCACATTTCTCTCACTGTTACTGGGCTGTTGTGATATTTCAATGACATTTTGTGTAAAGCACTTAAGGGTATCTGATGAATGGCAGGTAGTTAGGACGGCCTGGTTTAGGAGTTTATCTGGAGGTCTAATGAGATAGGTAACAACTGTTACTGTGACTGCCCCTGGGGTAGTCAAATTTTCACCCTTACAATGGGGACAATGTGTCCTGTGAAAACGCTTTGTCAATTGCAGCACCATCAGAATGTTGGGATGGTTATTCCCATTTTCCCTAAAAGCCTAAGAGCGTTTACAGATGTGGCTGAAAGAACAATAGTTTCTTCTACCTTCTATGCTATGGATACTCACTGAGATGGAAAGAGTACTCATAAGGAGCTAAAGCTTCCCTAAAACCATGCCAATAGATTCAACCTGAATGCCATTCCCTGGTCTTACACCCCTTGCCGGTGCAATGAGCACCCACAATGTCAAACCTCCTCTTGGTCACCCCCCCTTCCTCTCTGAAATCCACACTTCTCTAGCGCACTTTTTCAGACTCACCCAAGAATGGATGGCTTCCCCACTGACTCCACCCAAACCTCCACCACACTTTTCACTCTGGCAGCTTTTCCATGGGCCACTACTTAGATGTCTGTGTGAAGAATACAAGCCTGGTGGCCTGAGGACAGGGACTCTGTCCACCCATGTACTACCCACATCCACACCACTTGTGTTAGTAAAGGCTCCTCTTGAAGACAAGGATGGAGTGATAATACCCTCAATCTCCATCCTGTTCCCCCTCCCCCAAAAATATTTAACAGAACCTCAAGCTGCTGGGAATACTTATTTATTTGGTCTATTAACACCAAGATCTGCAAAAAAAAAAAAATCTAAACACAGGATAAGAAAACTTGAACATTAACATTCTTCTTCAATTTTGTGTAAGCTCTGCAGTATGGAAAATATACAAACTTCAAACAGCTGCAAAAATAGTGTCTTTGGGAGAAAATAGAGTTTCTACATCGATACAAGAAAAATAGGCATTTTTCTAATCCAACCCAGTCCTGGGGCAGGTGGAGGGTCACCACTTGCCACCTGGAGGAATGCCAGCTCTCCCTCTTCCCCACTACCCACCTGGGGCTGGGCAGGCTGGGCTGCTGCTTAAGACAATCTTAGGGTGAAAGCGAGATGAAAATGCCACTTGGGAAAACGCTTGGTTCCCCCCTCTACCAGCAGCTGGATTGGTCAAGTGTTGTGGCCCTTTAGGGCTGCTTTGGTCAGCTCCTCCAATGAGAGGGAGGCATGGGGACGAGGGCTGAGAGGCGAGGGGTCAGCTATCTTCAGGTCTCTTCTGTGTCTGTAGGGGAGAGGGAGGGAAATACATGGTGTCCCCTCTCCTTCAGTCATGACCAGCTTGCTCCATGACAAGGACAAATGCCCCATATACAGTCCTTTGGACTCACACCCAGGGGTGGGGGACCCAAGCCCTTCTGGGTGAGTTTTCCACCAAGTGAGAGAGGCGGCAAGGACACAGGTGTGACTTGTGAGCTGCCCAGCTGCTAGTGGAGAAGGCAGGTCCCCTCACGTTCAGAGGGGCTGGTATCCATCAGAAAGAGGACCCAGGCTTTGACACAATAAATGAAAGTGCTCGAAGGCCAAGAGGGGCTCCTTCCTCTCCCACCTCAGGGGAACTAGGGAGGGGCCTGCCACCAAGGCACTGGTCTCCATGGTAAAGTGGTGGGGATGGGGCCCTCAGACCACCAGGGAGCTCTGGAACAGTACAGGCTCTTCTGATGGTGGGGTGCGCTGCCATGGCTCGAATGGCAGTGACGAGGCCTTGGAAGCCTCTGGATCCTTCCGAGGTGGTGGCCTGGGGCTGGCAGGGGGAAGTGGGGACCCTGGGCTTGAGGGGCAGTTACGGAAGATGAAGCCCATGCTGGGGAAGAGGGGCTTCATCAAGCTGACGGGGCAGAAGGCTGAGCCAGTTGGGTTGAAATGGACTTTGTTCTTGTCAGGACAGGAAGTCAGGAAGGCCAGGTCAGGACCCGGGGACCTGGAGGATGGAGAACACAAAGATATACATGTGCACATACACATATACACACACACAAAAAGCCTGTGAGAAGGGATGAGCTGTCACAGCGTCGGAGTCTCTGTTCAAAAAGGATGGTAACTTGATCAAACATTGAAATGCTACTGAGCAACCTAGTTTTTAGGCCTCTCAGGTCTTCATTTTAAGCAATAGGAAATCCACTTCAGCTAAAAAGAGGAGGGACTGAAGCTATTCAGGAAGGAAAACTTCCTGACAATGTGATTCTAGGAGAGCAAGGGGTCTTTTTAATTTGAGAGATTTCATGGGTGAACAGTATTTGGGGGGCAGATCACTTACCTGAAAGCACTGATCCAAGCAAAGTGACTTTCTAAGACTTTATAGTCCAAAGCAGAGTTTCTCAACAACAGCGCTACTGACATTTTGGGCTGGATCATTCTTGGTTGTGGGGAGCTGTCCCGTGCACCCTAGGATGTGCAATAGCATCCCTGGCCCCTACCTACTAGATGCCAGCAGCATCTGCCCCACCCCTCTTAAGTTGGGACAACCAAAAATGTCTCCTGATGTTACCAGTTGTGCCCCCTTGAAATCTAGTAGCCTAAAGAATCTCATTTTGAGCACATCTGCAAGGTGATTTTTCAATACCGTTGCTGGGAGGAAGGGATAGCAACTGCAAGAAAGGCAGCCAGACCTTATTAGATCTAGGTGCTAACTCACCACGGTGGCTTTGTCTGACCCGACTCACCGATCCCTCCCCCTCTGATCGTGTAGAGGGATCAAAAGAGGTTAGGACAGGGAGTTTGAGAGTAAAGAACCCTATGATAAAAAAAGATGAGTGTATGGTCATGCTTGGAGAGTAAAATGGCCCTGAGAAGCTGCTGGCTGTGAGGGCTCCAGGTGAGAAGACAGATGTGCGGGGAGAGAATGAAGCGGCTACCAGCAGTTCCCATTGACTCCCTTTTTCTTGAAGTATAATATAGATACAGGAAAATGCGCTTAGTGCACAGCTTGATAACTGACTGCCATTTTAATTGTGGAATTCTAATAATTCCAAACGCAGGAAGATAAGCGAGGCAGGAGAAGAACAGGGGTTAGCACAGAGTGAGAGGTAAAGGAAGAGGTGGAAGGAAGGGAGCCTGCATGCTAGGCATACTTGGGAAAGCCTTTGGCCCCAGAGGGCTCCACAGTAGCAAGGTGACCCCTGACTGAGAAGGTTTTAAAAGAATCTGACTGTATGGAGGGGTGGGGAATGGGCTGGAAAGGGAATGCTCTCAGTGTGCACGCACATGAGGAAGGTGACCCAGAGAAGACCAAGAAGCTCTTGAATGACACAGGGGCAACCAATGACCCTGAATGGCTTGATTCCCTCCCTGGAAAACCCAGGCCCTCTTATGGGGTCAGCAGCCAGAAAGGGGAAAATGTGGCAGAAGAACTGCTAACCACAAGAACTTTCCAGTGGGAAAGGTGACACAATGAGCTGAGAATTTCTATCCTAGGTATCTTAGAAAGCAATTGATTAACACAGGGGTAGGAAGCTGGGTGAGATGACTTTAAGACCTCTTCTTGCATTTTATTTTTATACCTTGCATTATGAGTCTATGAGAGAACCACGACAAGCAACAGCCTGATTTCCACAAGCAATTCCAGGTCATAATTATTCACCTACAACACGGACTGGAGAAAGGCACAAGAGCCCAGAGTCTGCTTAAGCTGCAAGATCTGGCCTCTTCCCTCCACACCACCCCAGGACCCAGGGTTCTTGGAGGGATACCGAGCACCAGGGACTATGGGAGCAAAACTCCCCAGTGCCAAAACTCCATTAACTCCCACTCTGGTTTCTGCAAGTACTTTCTGCTACTACCATTGGTTGTCCTCTCCCTTCTTTGAGCCCTCAAGGCCCAAAACCCTGTCCTAGCTGAATCTGCACTCCACTCACACCCCGTAACTAAACTTCCTGACTGCCATCAAAACTACAGGCTCTGTGGTGAATCTGCCCTGATAAATATTAAGCTGGCAGGGGGGAAAATGAGCTCTTAGGGAGCCTGCTAAGGGGGACAGTGTGGGCATTTGGAAAGGTTCGGCTCTTGATTCTCTCTGCTAATGGTAAGGAATTTTGCTTTAAAAAAAAAAAGCCAACATGAGAATGGCTTCTGAATTGTCCAATCTGGTCTGGTTTGGGGATATTCCATAGTCGTTTCTTGCAAGGACTGGAAATTTCTGTCTGGGAGTTTATCACACCTGAAACCACTGCTGCCACTGGGTGAAGACTTGACTCAGAAGCCATTAGAAAGCTGCTGAGACTCCCCCGGCCACTCCCGTGGGGACGAGACTTCTAATCTGCCTGGAGAATTACTAGTATGTTCTCTCTCTCTCTGATTATAGTCTGGGAAATTCTCACACCTCCCCCGGGGATGGAAAAAAATTGAAGAAACAAAGGGTTTAGGTTTCAGATCACTTTCCTTTCCAGCTCCTGCTGCGCTTGTGGCTGGCATGTAGGCAGAGAGAAGGTTTCTATGGAGATAATGATAAGCAAAGATTTAAGTGCTCAGAGTAGGTAATGTCAACAAGTTTGATCATGGCAAAACTGCAATACCAATCATCTAAGGTGGACAGTATCTCTAGAACGAGGGAGAGTCCAAGGCCTAAAAAGGACCTGTCAGGTGGGACAACATGGGGCTGACCCCCATCCCTGTCCCTCCCTCGCATGCCCTGTCCCTCTGAGGTACTCACGTGGCCTCTTCAAACACACGCACTCTCTCACAGCCTTCCGGGGGCTCCCGTTTGAAGACGTAGCTGTGATTGGGCCGAGGGGAGGCAGCAAAGGCAAGAACTGGAGATGGGCTGCCGTCTTCAAGGAAGGCTGGGCGGCCTGGAGAGGAGGCTACAAACACAGCAAAGCTGAGTCCAGCTGAGCTGAAGGAAGGGCTCCGCTTTCCTTGGCTCAGGCCTTGGTGTAAAGGGGCAAGACTGGTAGGCATGATGAGGTGGGTGGCAGTGGCTATGCTAATCCAGGTTGTCTGTCTATACTTTGCCTTCAAAAGTCTTGAGGCAGCTTACAAAAATACATACCTTGCTATACAGGATTAAAAAATAACAAATGAATTGATGGAAAAATCAGATCTAATACCAATTCTTTATTCCCAGGAGGAAGACTACAATTGGAACTCCCAGCCTCAGACTTAATGGAATCCTAACTTCCGTCTCTGCCCTCTTCTGAGATTGCACGGCCTTGCCTGCCAACATACCACAGCTTCTTCTCCACAGTCTCAAAAAGCTATGCCTTCTTCCAGGAAGAGCTCTTGTACTGACTCAGAGAAGCATTCTTTACTCAACCCCATTTGTGGGATAAAATTCCTCTCACTTTCCACACAGTGAATGTACTTTGCCTAAGTTGCAAATATTGACTTTATCTGTATTTATCTCATATTTATTCCTTATTACTCTATGCTCTATTTACCTCTGTGTATTGTTAGGTCATGCCCTTAACCAACCAACCTCACGGGGTTGCTGTGAGAATCAGATTAGCCGATGCAAGCAAGAGTGCTTCTGAATGCAAAGATCATGGTCACGGGGAGGAAGGGCTCGTGTGTGTCCTCGCAGTGAAGCAGCCAGAGCACAGTACAAAGATTTGGAGTCAGAAAGCTTGAGCTCTGATGTGGATCAAACCATGTGACCACATTCTCTTGTATCATTCACAACCACCTTGAGACCTTTGCTGGTAAAGGGTACAGTGGACAGCTGAACTGATTCACAGACTTTCTACCATAGCATGCTGCCCTTCAGTTACAAAAGGGAAGGGAACTATAATTTGGATTATAGTGAGGATTAAATAAAAGTATAGGTACAGAGACTTCACATAATTTATAAATCAGAATCTATGTAAAGGACTATTATTACCCCTAGTATAATGTACAGAATAAAGATGACTCAGAAAGATTTTTGAGTTGGTAAGTAAAAATGCCAGGGATGAAACAGACTAGAGGTGGAAAGGGAGTGGAGACCCCCCTGCCCCTGTGTAAGCCCTGCTGCCTCCTCAGCTTACCTTTGTCATTGGGGACGGATGCCAGTTCCTCCGGGTGTTCCTCACGGCTGGCCTGGCCTGAGGGCTGGGGGGATGCCAGGGGCATGGAGGGGGAGCTGGCAAGGTTGCCAGGCTCCAGGAGGAGGAGAGGGTGATCAGAGCTGCCACTCTGGGGGGGAGCTGGGGCACGGTGCCCATCAGGGATATCGAGGATCTGCCAGGGGAGGAGGGGGAGAATGACTCTCAGGCCTCTCTCTCCAGGCTTGCAGAGCTACGGTGACCCTTAAGGTTCCTCCTTGCCGTTATGCTCATCCTCTATTCATAACACACAGTGACAATAGGATGCCGTAGGATGCTCAAGTCGCTGATTTCCCTGATTGCCCCCCAGTCTCAGGGAAAACCCCTCCTATCTCCCCCATAGCATGCTGTTCTTTTCCCTCACAGCACTGGCAGCCCAATTAACAATCACATATTTATTTGTATGGTTTCATCAGTGTGTCACCCTCACCAGGCTGTGAACCTCACGAGGGCAGGGACTTTCTGTGTGCCAGGCTCTGGGAACACAAAGATGAATAACCTATGGGGGTCCATCAGGGCGTAGATCCCCTGGACACTGTAACCCCAAGCCACTGCAGGACAAGTGTGCAGCTTAGTATCATGTGTTCAGAAACATTCAATGGCACTTGTACCCACAGCAAGCCAAACTGTGTGAGTGTGTTTGGGTGGGTAGACAGCCTTACATATATGCAAATTAAAAATCAACTAGCAAGTAAATCATAAACTGAGGAGTGTGCCCATTAGAATTATATTAATACTGCCCAACTGGCCTTCTCCAGTTGTACTGTGTCAGTATAAAAATGTGCCTGAGACTGCAGAAAAGGTAGCAAATAATTCTGCCTGGCAGGGGGTCAGGGAGAAGGCTGCACAGGGGCAGCTGGGCGTGAAGGATGACTGTGTATCCCCAGGTGGAGATGGAGGGAAGGGAAGTGGGAACACAGGCAACGGGGCAGCTTAACTGAGGCACAGGTGCGTGCCAGCAACGTGATGAGCACACAGAGAAGAGTGAGCCCGTGCTCTGGCAAAAGAGTGATGCCCGGTCTGTGCCTCCAAGCTGGGACCTTCCTCTCTGCCAGTCCCTGCTCCTCTTTCTACTCACCACCACAAAGCCTGTCCCAATTACACCCACCCAGGTCTGCTGGCCTTGTGCTTGGTTAAGTCCATTTGAGTCTAATAAACTCAAGCTGTGTTCCTTCCACAGGCTGGTGTTGGCATGTTGCTGTGTTGACATAGCTCAGCCTATGAGCCCCCAGAGAGCAAGAGTCCCACGTCCCTGAGTCCCGGATCAGAAAGACGCTGACTGAGCATGTCCAGGGCATGGCCCCCACTCACCCGCAGCAGCTCCTCTTCACCCTGCTCCTTCACAAACACCTCCTCCAGCTCCTGGTTGAGCCCTTCCAGGCTCCGGTGCAGGCAAGGGCTGAGTCGTAGGACAGGGGACCCTGAGGGGAAGCTGGGAGGGGACACCTGAGGAGGCAAATGAAGCAATCCCTGACCTCACCAAGTGTGTACAGTTATTAGTCCTGATGGGGGGTCATGGACATGTCTACACAGCAGAACTAAGAAACAGGAGGAGGATATGGGGACATTTACTAATTGCCAGAGGTCCTTGCAGTTGGTAGGGTTTTCTCCAGAAGTTAGATCTTTGGGGGAGTTCTAGAATGTGCTTTGAGAGTCTACAGCCTCTAAGGAGCATCACTGCCTCATTGTAGAGGGAGTGTGGGGATGGAGGAGAGGGAAATTCAGAACAGCCAGGAGCCCTTCCAATGTCACTCAGCAAGTTCAAGTTTACACTACAAGTTCACTTGGGCACCCATGAGGCCACAGAGCATACAGTGGCAGGACTCAGTAGCTGTAAGACCTGGGCAATCGGCCCACTCCGGGGGACCTACCATGGAGGACAATAGCAGGCAACGGGCTCAGGGGAGAAAACATACCCTTGGTGCAGCCCGCACAGCATGGTCCCCATGGAGTGGGGAGCCCCGCTCCTTCTCTCTCCCACCACGGCTCAGCTTCGTCCTTTGCAGCTGTTGCTTCAATTTGGTAATCTGGTAACACAGAGACGGGAAAGGAGAGGCAGGGGAAGCAAAGTGTGAGTGCGCGGGGTCCCTCCGCCCTGGCGTGGCTCCTGCCAGAGGCCATGGAAAACACATAGCAGGGAGATGGGGGCCAGTCTTCCAACTCAGAATATCTCAGTGGTGTTCAAAACTCTGCAGATAGGTTCACTGGGCACGCTGCATATCTTATTTAACCAGATTACTTGATTTTTTAAAAATACCACATATTCCACAGATGGATCAGTTTCCAAAAAATTAAAAATACGTAACACTGAAACCGTTCTTGTCTTTCACAGATTCCAAAGGCATGGAATCTATTCCAGGGTAATACTACGCTATTAATAGAAATGGGAAATGATGTTTTTGAATTCACTCCTCAAAGTACATTCACAGCTATCTCAGAAGCCCTGGGACCAGGAAGGATGGAAGGATTTCCCCCCATTTTAAAGTGGACTGCACTGAGCAAGGAACAGGCTCTCAGAAAGGAGTACCAGACTTTGTCCTGACTTCCTTACCTTGTAACAACTATGGATTATCATCAACAATTTTGACAATTACCCCTGTCACATCTGTAATTCTGGACCAATTTGCTGGCAAATGCTCAAGAGATATGCAGCACTGTTTAAATACGGGCCTAAATTAGATGTAATTCAGAGAGTAGATCTGTAGCCCATACAATTTATGACTACTGCCAAGAAGAAGGGGCTTTTAGACTGGCTGGTGGGGATCATTCAGCCCCTGACTCCATGCCTGGTGTAAGTAATGTGCTTACCCTGATAAGTACAAACTTTAGATACCTGATATTTTTCAGTAGCCTTAAACTTGTAGAGGATTCACTTCATATTTTCTGTCTTTGCAGCCAAGAAGGCAGAAGCTACTCCACCAGTACAGGGGTCGAGGTGACTCCCTGTAAGTTGGCCCTCTCAGGGGCTGCCACCCAGCAAGGTGCACAGAGCTGATTTGGGGGGCCTGGAATTCCAGTCTATGGTTCTCTCTACTCAACATCAACAACTGGAGTCCTGAGAGAGAGCGGGCCTGGAAAAAGTGCTTGGGAACTGTGGGGAAAATGGAAGTTCCTATGGCCAGGATCCTCACCTGACCCTAAACCACTTGATGATGTTATTGGCCTCCTGTTAGACCAATGCTTCCACATCCTTAGCAATGAGCTATTATCAACTGAGTCACTAAATAAAGAACTCCAGGCAGAGGCAGAGATGGAGGTGGATTATGGTCCTGCAGACTGCTGGATGTAGACGTGAGCTCGACCTACTGCCTGAGAACGAAGCCAGGTATAAACACTTCTACCCCAAGAACGTTCTGTTGTCATTTCTTGTTCTCACTGAATCCATAGTGAACATAGTGAACTTGCCTAGGGCTGAAACCCTCAGGCAAGACAGGAACACATAACTATTTTTTTCTTCTCTTAAAAATAAAGCTGGATGAATAGTTAAGTAGTAAATGAGGATAGGGCTTCCAAAGTCTTGTAACTCACTCCCTGCCTTTGTCCTGTCCCTGAATTGCTTATCTGGCTCCAAACTCAGTGAGAACAATGGCTACCCCGCCCTTGGCTATTGAAGCCGGCAGTCACTGTCCAAGCCCCTGCCAGTGGGAGCGTCTGGGCTCCCAAGGCCTGGCCACCAGGAGGCTGGCAGGTAGTTCTGAAGGTGCTGTCTCTCAGGAAAAGGCTAGGGCAAGGCAACTGAGCCTGGACATGGGAGTCCACTTTGGAGCAGATGCATTCATGATACTGGGCTTGAATAGAGGCAGCTACCCTGGCCAGGGAGTCAAGGGGCCGGTTACCTCCTTACGGTGGTCTGTGCTGCCCCAGGATGCTGAGCGCTTGTGTGTACAGGAGCTGGTCCGCTCACATTCAAGCTCTTGCCAGGACAGGGGGGTCTGCAGGGAGAGAAATGCTGTGAGACCAAGCGGCTTTTCAGGAGGCTCTGGGAAGCAGAGGTGGTGGCTCTCTGAAAGCTTCTCGTCATCTGCTCACCACCTCCTGAACACCGCCAGCCTCGTGTATTCTGTCAAGCTTCTGCACCCGAACTTGCTCTTTCCCAATCCACATCCTCCAGGAAACCTTCTGGGATGAGCCAATAAGGCCTTCCTGCTCTCCGCTCTCAGGACTTGTACACATGGATTACAGCCCCTGCTTCTTCTGCAGGGATGCCCCAAATGTGAGAACAAGTACTGTCCCTCCACAGCCCACCCAGCTCCAAAGAGCACAGGCTCAGGTTCCTGGGAGCCTCATAAAAACAAGTTACTAGATGGACTCCATTAAGGAATCATTAATTGGTAAAACAGGGAAGAAGTCAACAGAGGTCTCCTGCCCTCCACCCTTGACGGAAGCAGACTTCTCTGTAGAGCCATGCCTCAAGCTTGTTCTGTGATTTTTCCTTGTATTCAGACAAAGTGTTGGGGACCCTGAAGCCCTCCTGAATACTCAGGAGGGGGGACATTTTCAGCAAGAGGGGCCAAAATTCTGAACTCGGCCCTGACTCCTGAGTCCTGGTGGCTTTACCACCATCCTATCCCCTGGGCCCTGCTCTGCCCCTTCATAAGAACAGGGCTCCCCGTTGGCCATCTTCCTTCCCTGCTACACAAGACAGAGGCCCAAGACCGAGGCTGGAGGAGTCACAGACCCACTTCCTGAGCCCCAACCTGAAGGAGGAAGCTGTTGGCTCTGAGCCTGAGGCGGAGTTCGCTCCCCACCACCATCCCTACTTCCTTCCAAGGGAGGGGCCCCAGGGGAATGTTCCAGGGGAGCCAGCTCCTCTCTAGCTTTTTTGCATAAGCTGCCAAAACCATGAGGGCCTGGGAACCATCTCTTCCACAGATCTGCTGGCCTCCCCCAGAGGCTGCTGCAAACAGAAAAGGGGGAGGACAAAAAGGAAAAAAACCCCAACAACTCACCACCCAACAGCTGTTAAGAGGAGCTCAGCGGGGCAGTCTGAGCAGGCCTGTGGGAGCAGGCGGCCCTGCTGACAGCTGCAGCAGAGAGGGCCACGGGCGGCCGAGTCTTCCTGGCTCTTCCTTCTCCTAGCTGCCCACTGACCAGGACCTTTACTGGGATGTGCCACACAGCCAGGGTATGACAACTGTCCCACCTTCCTTCCCTGATGCTAGCCCCACAAGAGGCCTATCCAGAGATCATTCCCCACAGTTTCCTCCTTTAGGAGAAGGGCAGGCAGCACGTCCTTCAGGCTCATACCCCAAAGCCCTGGAGGGGAAGGTGCCTCTGACAGTATACAGAAACCGAACAGCTGGTCTACTTTCAGATGCCCATGTCTCGCTAAACCAGGGTGTTGGCAGTAGAGCCTCAGAAGGGGCTGCTGCACATGCTGAAAAGCGAGGAGGAAGTCCGCCTCTCCCATGGCTCCCTCAGCCCAGCAGATACATGCGCGCTCCTCCCTTCCCAGGGCTCCAAAGCCAACCCTACAGGTTGCTAGCTCTGCTAATCAAAGTTCTAGGTCCTATGCAGGCCTCTTGTCCCTGGAAAGGTGACAGAGGCTGTAGAGGAGGGATGGCAAAGCCTAAGGTGATGATACCCATTTCCCCGCCTCCAGGAAGATACTGTACTCACAGGTGGGTGGAGAGAGGTAGGTAAAAACAGCCACATTCAGGCTGCCACCGGTTCTAACAACTCTTGCAAACTTCAACTGCTTTCTCTCTTCTGAGATATAAGAGGGGGTGGGAGGAGAAACATAGGCTAGCACTGCCATTTAGAAGGGACATAAAAGTTCACGGCAGCTAGGATCATCCCCTATCTCAATCCATTTTATCCCACCTCTCTCTGCTTGGTAACATCTCCCAGCAGCTATTGCCTCTTCAGTGTAAGTTGTGCCATTAAGGCCATCACTTTGCCTCAACACCCACCACTGGCCATAGAGATCACCATCTCATCCTCTGTGCCATGGGCCCACCATGCTTGGCCCTCATCCTATGCCAGCAAACCTAGCTCTCCCTCTCCTTTTTCTTATTTTACCGCTGGACCTCTAAGCCTGGTCTCCCTATCAAAGATGGCCACTCTACCAACTTTTCCCAGCCTTCCCATCTGGGAGACTTTCCTAACTTGTAAATCTCATACTTGGCTGCTCCTTTGTTCTGTGCCTTCTCTGCACAGATGGGCTCAGGGCATACGCCACCCATGCATTCAATAGCAAGTCACAGAGTGCAGACTGTGTGCCAGGAGCCATGGACACAGCAATGCACAAAACAACAAATTCCTCGTCTGCTTTGAGTTTATGTTCTAGTAAAGGAAACAGTTTAAACACTAAAAAGCACTAAGAGAAGAATATAGCAAAGAAAGGGGATAGGAATGCTGGGCAGGGGAACATGGTTTCAAATGCAAGGGATGTACTCAATGAAAAAACAACATCTGAAGAAAAGCATGAAGGAGATACAAGAGTAAGCTATGTGGCTATCAAGAGGGACTGAGATGGAGAGAAGAGCAAGTGCAAAGGCCCTGATGCAGGAATGAGCCTGGTATGTTTCCAAATGATAAGGAGGCCATTGCCTGGAGCAGAGTGAGCGAGGGGCAGGGTGGTGGGAGATGAAGTCAGTGGGTATGACAGACTGAAAAATGGCCCTCTGAAGATATCAGGTCCTAACCCCTGGGACCTGTAAGTCTTACCTTATATAGTAAAGTTTTTGCAGATGTGATTAAGAATCTTGAGATGGGAAGATTATGCTGGGTCCCCCAGGTGGGCCCTAAATGCCTTTACAAGTGTCCTTATGAGAGAGAGACAGAGGGAGATTAGACATACACAGAAGATAAGGTGATGCGACCACAGGGGCAGAGACTGGAATGACATGGCCACAAGCCAAGGGCTACTGGCACCCAACAAATGCTGGAAGATGCAAGGAATGGCTCTCCCAGAGAGCCTCCAGAGAGAGTGCAACCCTGCCAGCACCTTGATCTTGGCCCAGTGAAATGGAATTCGGACTTCTGGCCTCCGGAACTGAGAGACTAGACTTCTGCTGTTTCAAGTCACTAAGTTTGAGGTAATTTGTCACAGCAGTCTGAGGAACCTAACACAGTAGGTCAACCTCTGTTTGGAGCTGTTTACATGCTGACTGGGGGTATTCTAGGGCACCCATATGTACAGTGAGCTGTGGGGCCCCTCCAGCTGCACTGGGAGCACAAAGAGTGGGAGCCATGCCCTGCCCATTATTTCCTGGGCCTGAGTGGACAGGTCCTTCCTCCTCTAGGTCTCACCAAAGAGGTGTGGGCCAGGGTCTCCTAGGAGCACAGAACAGTCACTTAGGAGGTTCTACCTTTCAAAGAGTGACCCTTTATGGCACAACATGGGTTAAGTCATGCAGCATGGCAGCACGCTAAGGAGTTGTTCCAGATAATCCTTTGGAAGCAGGGTAGCATGGAGCAGCAGACCACAAAGCCATTTCAACGGACCCAGGCACTGGAACAGATGTATTTTAACACCCTGGCCCAGGGGGAGCAGCTGAGGGAGGCTACTTACTAACCATGAGTGCCATCAGCCACCTGTGCAGATGAGGTCTGGATTATGCAAAACTGGATGTGGGTTAGACCAAGGAATCCTTGCCCAGGACTGAGATCCCAGAGCAACATGTGGCAGGATAACTGGTGTGGGGGCGCAGGACAGCTTTTCAAAAGAGCAGCCTGCTACAACAAGGCAGGGGCAGGAAGGAGCTGAAAACCCTCCAATATGGGAACTTTTTCTCTGCCCGAACCCAACCAAGATTCTACCCAGACTCTGAGTCTCCAGTGAAAGCTGGGCCCTGGGAACATAACCCAGGGTACCTGTGCAGGGTGAGGAGCAGCATGGTACCTAGCCTGGTACAGACGGTCAGTAACTACATGTCCAACTCAAATTCAGCAGGGAATCAGCCTCTTGGAACTCAGGCAAAACAAAGAGGCAGGAAAGGGCTCTGAGGGGGCTCTGCTGGCCAGCGCCGAGAACTCTGGCTGCAGGTGGCCAAAGCTACCATCTCCGGCCCTACAGATTTTCCATCATGGACCCATTTTCAAATATTTTGTGTGCTCTCAAACCATATGCTGAACAACTGGTCTTGCTCACAGTCTGGAAACTAGGCACTGTGCCCAGGCCCCCACACCCACTAAGAAAGGCACATGATGGGCAGCCTGAATTGTGTGTCACAACTAAATGCTGAGGCACTGGTTTGGGAAAAGTAGGGAAAAGTCACAGAGAGGGAAGTCCTCCCAAACAAAGCACACCACCTCCTCCATGAGGTTCATCAGGGAACTTAAGCTATTTTTCTCCCAAAGGGTAAGTCAGGCCTAAAGAAAAGTCTATCACAGAGACTTCCCCACCTCACCTGGGGCATGCAAAGGAAATGGGGCTGGGGGTACGTAAAACAGGGCAGCAGGCAGAGCACGTACTCAGGGCCCTGTCTGTCTGCAGGATGAGCAGACCAGTGGGGAACTTTGCTCAAACAGTCATTCCAGCTGTGGTAAGACCACTTCCTCCCTCCAGAAGAGAGCAAGAAAACTCAAATGATCTGCACAGCAAGAAGGGAGCGGGGTGACCACAACCACTGGCATGTGCTGCCATCACCCGCCCTGGCCCCAGCCCAGCCACCAGGAGCGACCTGCCCAGAGCACTCGGTAGTCAGCTCTGGTTTCCCAACTGACCTGGGGGGAGGGTGGTCCAGAGAGGAGTAAATATTCGGATTGACTGGGAAAATCCTGACAAAGTCCTCCAGCTCACAGAAACCTCCTCCAGATGACAGTGACTGCATAGTAGCCTTCCTAGTCCCCTGGCTGGCTGCCTACTCTGCCTCCCTGGGCTCTTCCTTGGGCCTGCCAGGGGGAGGCCTGGTCAGCACTCTCCCATTACTCGTCCTGGCTCAGAACACACAGGAGACCAAAGCACTCCCTCCCCATGGCCACATTCACACCTCCTCCTCCTTCATGGAACAACCTATTTCCCAACTGAAAACCATCCACCTCTCTTTCTCCCCTGCCCCAAAGACCTAGGTAGCCATCTTCTGCCTGAGGGGGAAGCCTCAAGGACCAGCAGGCCTGGCTATTTACACGGCAGGTGTTCTGTGCTTGCTGCCCAGGTCAGAGAGTTGCTTCAAATGGGCAGGGCCCTTGCTGGCTCTGAGAGTTCAGAGAGGGGAGCTGCTCAGCCTGAACTATAACTGTGGCCGCTGCCTTCACTACAAGGCATGCTCCACACACACACACACTTGCTGCTGGCTCTCGGGTGGGGGTTTGGGGCAAGTAGGAGAGAGGACCGGCCAGATGTGGGGGATGGATGGCACTAGTGTGGCTAGAAGAGAAAGGGCAGAGGGTAGGGACGGTGGTGCGAACAGCCTCCTTTAAGCTCAATGGAATTAGAGAAAGGTTCTGGCACCCATCTATTTTTTAACAACATAAAAGCTTTCAGAGGCTTGGTAGATCCTGCCTCCCTACCTTCCCACTACCTTCTCCACACTCCCTTGTATGTCTCCGATCAAGCCTCTCCCCCATCTCCAGTCCTTTCTGGAGGACTGGAGGGAAGGGAAGGAACACCAATTACTTAGGGAGATGCCGTCTGTGGTATAAAACCAGTGTTGAAGAAGGTAGCTGGTGCCAGGCCAGGGGGCTCAAGCAGGAATCTGAATGGAGCCCAAAGCCTAGAAGCAGAAAATTCCCAGAAGGCCAGGGATGAAAGATGGGCAGAGTGCATATTTTGGTTTGGATGCCTACGTTGATCAGAATTCTCCCACCTCCTGACTGCAACCACAATATTGACAGGTTGCTAAGAGTTCCTCGAGGGCTGGAGCCTATCCCGGGAAAAGAGGAAAGCTGTAGAGCTTGGCCTTGCCAGACCCATGGAGGCGCATCAGTGACCTCTGTCTTGCTGTGGCAAGAAGCCCAGACTTGTTATATAAAAGATCTGGCCTGCAGCTGGAGCCTGAGCAAAAACACACAGCCTAGAGCCCATGCCTCCAAATCCAGCCAGAGAACATCTGAGGCCAACCCTGCCCTGAGCTAACTAACAAAGAGAAGGCTATCTGAGGAGTGGGATGGAGGCTTCCTAGAAGGCTGGGAGCAGGAAATGACAGAGATGGGGATAGGTGGACTACATAGAAACCTGCTGTCTGACAAAGAGGTTTGTGATCATGAGCTTACACACCAGAAGCAACCTCAAGTTCTGCTCCTCCAGGAAGCCCTCCTTGATTAGACACATTGTTTGGGCTAACCACTCCTCTCAAAACAGAAAGGGGTATGTGCTCCAGGCCTGTGAGGGGAAGCCTAACCTATCCTCCCTCCCCTTTTCAGAGACAGGAAACAACGTGTCCAGGGCTTCCAGGAAGGGCTGTCTGTCTTCTACCTGGAGTCTGTCCTCCTTGCGTAGTTTATTTGTAGTTCCAAAGAAGGCCATTGATTTTAACTGCAGCGAATTCTTGTTGGTTGAAGGTGGGGTATTCCCATGAGAATTCCCCTTCTCTAAACTGTGCCAGACATTTGGCCCCGTCTCATCCCCTGGCTGTCTGTTCTCTGGCCTTCATGGAACTTGCATCCAGACTCACAGAGGCCAAACCTTGTTCTCATTTCCTTATTCGTCATTCAAACATGCCAAGAACAGTGCTGGGCATTCAGACATTCCCTAATAACATTTGAAAATGGATCTCATTGAAAAAATAAATAAAAGAAAGGGACCATGATATGCTCAGAAGGGGAGGTGGTGTGAAGTAAGAGCACAAAACACTTGTGCATTTGGCCGTCACCCCACCTGCAAGCGGCAGAGCAGGCATATGCCCCCACCTTGCAGAGGAAGAGAGGCCTTGCCCAGTAACCACCAGGATGCAGATCTGCCTCTGGGTTCTTCCTACCCTGTTTCCTCTTTCCTGAGAACAACTCATTTGTTCTGAGGTTGAACAGGAATGGGTTTAAGCTGCATCAAAAGGGAAGAGAATTGATTCTTAACAACTTAACTGCTAAGAATGTTGAAGTCCTGAATCAGATTGAGAAATATCTTTGTATAATTTCACAGATGAGATGACTTCTTGCTCAAGCTAACACTAGTTTATTCAAAAAACTGACAAATGGACTGAGTATCTTTGGAGATTCCCTCCAAGTTTAGGATTCTTAATGACAAGACTGTCACGAGGTAAAACACTGGAGGAAGAGAGCTGGGCTCCACAGGGCTCAGAAGAGTCCACTGAAATCCCAACCTGAGCTGCTGGCTAGGCACCAACTCTCCATTATCTGAACTTTCCCCTCTTATTGCTCCAGTGGGATCTATCCTGGCTCAACATGCTCCTCGGCCACATCTTCCAGTTGTTTGGGGAATTCAAACTCAACTGAATGTTGGCCTGTCTAATTCTTAGCAAGGTAAATCTCATTTTATTTTAAAACCTATAATAAATTTCAAAGTCAGACCTTGCTTACCCCCACATGAATACTTAAAACCAAACTGAAAAACCCAGGCTGACTTCTCTCTCCCACAAGTCAGGCAGAATACAAACTCATTTTCATGTAAGTTTACAAAGAAAACCAAGCTGGTAAACATTAGATAATGAAAAGCTACATGGTGAATGTGTACAGCTGAACCCCAGGGCAAATCATTTCAATGACTGAGAATTGGTAAGTAGACCAAAGGCATCCTCAGCTAGCCTCCCACCCCCAGCCCCATCACAGTAGCTGACAGCTTCATTACCTGGGTGGCCTTGTCATTGGTACAGCAGGCGAAAGCCCCATCAGCATCTCGTGGCCACTGGCCCAGAAGGTAGCTGCTGAGGATGGTGTCCAGGGAGAATGTACGTCGGACCTGGGGTGGCTGAGGCCTACACACTGACTTTTCTGGGGCCACGGAACATGGGACACTGGCTGGAAGAGAGCACAGCCCGTACACCTTGACATCAGCACAGAGGAAGGAGACATGGTGACCTAAGGGCTGTCTGTCTTCTACCTGGAGTCTGTCCTCCTTGCGTAGTTTATTTGTAGTTCCAAAGAAGGCCATTGATTTTAACTGCAGCGAATTCTTGTTGGTTGAAGGTGGGGTATTCCCATGAGAATTCCCCTTCTCTAAACTGTGCCAGACATTTGGCCCCATCTCATCCCCTGGCTGTCTGTTCTCTGGCCTTCATGGAACTTGCATCCAGACTCACAGAGGCCAAACCTTGTTCTCATTTCCTTATTCGTCATTCAAACATGCCAAGAACAGTGCTGGGCATTCAGACATTCCCTAATAACATTTGAAAATGGATCTCATTGAAAAAATAAATAAAAGAAAGGGACCATGATATGCTCAGAAGGGGAGGTGGTGTGAAGTAAGAGCACAAAACACTTGTGCATTTGGCCGTCACCCCACCTGCAAGCGGCAGAGCAGGCATATGCCCCCACCTTGCAGAGGAAGAGAGGCCTTGCCCAGTAACCACCAGGATGCAGATCTGCCTCTGGGTTCTTCCTACCCTGTTTCCTCTTTCCTGAGAACAACTCATTTGTTCTGAGGTTGAACAGGAATGGGTTTAAGCTGCATCAAAAGGGAAGAGAATTGATTCTTAACAACTTAACTGCTAAGAATGTTGAAGTCCTGAATCAGATTGAGAAATATCTTTGTATAATTTCACAGATGAGATGACTTCTTGCTCAAGCTAACACTAGTTTATTCAAAAAACTGACAAATGGACTGAGTATCTTTGGAGATTCCCTCCAAGTTTAGGATTCTTAATGACAAGACTGTCACGAGGTAAAACACTGGAGGAAGAGAGCTGGGCTCCACAGGGCTCAGAAGAGTCCACTGAAATCCCAACCTGAGCTGCTGGCTAGGCACCAACTCTCCATTATCTGAACTTTCCCCTCTTATTGCTCCAGTGGGATCTATCCTGGCTCAACATGCTCCTCGGCCACATCTTCCAGTTGTTTGGGGAATTCAAACTCAACTGAATGTTGGCCTGTCTAATTCTTAGCAAGGTAAATCTCATTTTATTTTAAAACCTAGAATAAATTTCAAAGTCAGACCTTGCTTACCCCCACATGAATACTTAAAACCAAACTGAAAAACCCAGGCTGACTTCTCTCTCCCACAAGTCAGGCAGAATACAAACTCATTTTCATGTAAGTTTACAAAGAAAACCAAGCTGGTAAACATTAGATAATGAAAAGCTACATGGTGAATGTGTACAGCTGAACCCCAGGGCAAATCATTTCAATGACTGAGAATTGGTAAGTAGACCAAAGGCATCCTCAGCTAGCCTCCCACCCCCAGCCCCATCACAGTAGCTGACAGCTTCATTACCTGGGTGGCCTTGTCATTGGTACAGCAGGCGAAAGCCCCATCAGCATCTCGTGGCCACTGGCCCAGAAGGTAGCTGCTGAGGATGGTGTCCAGGGAGAATGTACGTCGGACCTGGGGTGGCTGAGGCCTACACACTGACTTTTCTGGGGCCACGGAACATGGGACACTGGCTGGAAGAGAGCACAGCCCGTACACCTTGACATCAGCACAGAGGAAGGAGACATGGTGACCAACCTCTTCTCTTCCAGGAAGCCTCACCTTACTGCCATGTCTTCACTTAGATCCACCTCCCTCCTAAAAAAATTTGAGGCAGCCCACAAAAGCATATACAGTCTGACAAGAGCTTTCCTGACTTAACCAGCTGGCCTTTATCATGGGAAATAATTTACACCATTTTATGTTGGACTAGAGGTTATTTTATACATGCCTGCCCATCTTTTTCCTGTTCCTAATGTACTATGAACTATTAACTCCATACTGAGCTTCCTGAGAACTGGACTGTTTCCCCCCATTAAAGAGGGAACTCCAAGTGCACACAACTAAGATTTCACCCACCTTTTAACTCCTGCCTTACTTTCTCTCTCCAGTACCCACCACACAAATTCAATCAGTTAACTGAAGGAGGAGGCTTCATACTTCAAGACTGGTTTGTTCCAGACAACCTGGGTGACTGAGACAAAGGGAACGATAGAACTACTTCCAACTATCCAGTTCTGAAAATCCAGCTTGGAAAATATCCAAGTCTTTTGGTTCTTTCCTCTGTCTCTGACTTCTAGCTAACTGGGACAAAAATGAAGCAATTATAAAGCCATTAATTTTATTTTTACCTTGGTTAAAACTTTTTTGGAGAAGGTCAAAATTGAAACTATTCATAAAATGTAAGGGTTCTAGAATCATCTGTAAGTTTCAATTGTCTGGGTTGACTCTGCTTTCCATGCCCATATTCAAAACACTCAACTATCTCAAGATTTTTAAGACTCCTTCCTCTAAACAGAGCAAAATGCTTTCACGTCTCTAGTAATCCCTTGATAATTCATGTGTGCATTAAGTACAGCAAAAGGAACCAGGAACTGTAAGTATAAATAAACTTGAAAAGCTTTATATTAAAGACACTAACAGGCTGGCTTGTCCTCAAAAAGTTAAAACATAAAATTACCTTAAGATCCAGCAATCCCACCTTTGTAAATATACAAAAGAATTGAAAGCAGGGTCTCAAAGAGAGATTTGTACACCCATGTTCGTAGCAGCATTATTCACAATGGCCAAAAGGTAGAAGCAACCCAAATGTCCATTGACAGATGAATGGATAAACAAAATGTGGTATGGACATGCAATGCAGTATTAGTTTCAAAAAGGAATGAAATTGAGACACATGCTACAACATGAATGAAACTTCAAAACACAATAAATGAAACAAAACAGCACAAAAGGACAAATATTGTATGATTCCACTTATATGAGGTACTTAGAATAGGCAAATTTATAGGGACAGAAAATAGAATAGAGGTTACCAGGGACTTAGGGGGAGAAAGGAATGGGAGTTAGTGTTTAATGGGTACAAATTTTCAGCTCAGGATGATGAAAATGTTCTGGAAATAGACAGTGGTGATTGTTGTACAATAGTATGAACACAGTGCCAGTGGATCATAGTTAAAATGGTTAAATGGTAAAATTTATGTTACACATGATTTACCACAACAAAAAAAGAGACACTAACAACACTACATTCTCCAAATCCATTTAAGTATTTACATGCATTTTGACACAGTTGTAATTGATATGAAATGTACTATATTACCTTCTGCTTTGTTCTACTCATTTCATATAACCATTTCCAAGTATCAACAATCTAGATATTTGTCATTTTATATGACTGCATAATATTCCACCAGGTTGATACACAGTGGTCTGCTTAACCAGTCCCATATTATTGGACATCTGAGAAGGTCCCTCCCCCGCCAATTTACTGCATGGGCAGTACATCATGTTATTGCATGGGCAAGTTTCAGTCTCAGTTTTCATTTAATTCCTGGCATATTTCCAAGTCATCTCCCTTAGCCATCATATATTATGTGTGCTATTTAAAACAAATTGAACATGATGTAATTACAAAAGTAGTAAGTTTATAGAAAGTTAAGAAATATATAAACAAAAAGAAAAATCTCAAATCCAAATATCCAGATAAAAGCACTAATAATACTATGAGATAGATATCCTTATAGGCCTTACCTCCTGCATGTATTTATGTGTATATGTACTTTAAAATTTTTAAATGGGATGCTGTATTTTATTTTGTAATGTGTTTTCACCATATACCAGAAACAACTTTCCAAATAAACATATATTGACCTACAACACATCCTTTTAAGTGATCTTAACATTTCTGTTAAAACTCTTTAGGGACTTTTTCAAAAGATGGTACTCAAGGCCCCATGTTCTAGTTCTACTTATCCTCCCCTTACAGATCACTCTTCAAGGTCTCAATGCCCTGTACAAACCACTATGCAGCCCTTCCCACCCACGCCCAGGCCTTCCCTTCTCTGAGGTTTGCACACGTGCCCAGGATTGAAATCTGACATGTCTGTCCTAATGGCCTCTACCTCCATGAAGCCTTCTGGATCTCTTGGAAGGAATGTCTCAGGATTCTCTGACTTTCCAGTACTCTGTACTCTTTTAGTACTTACCACCCTTGTTCTGGGATTATGGGTATTTGTAACCCCTAGATAATGAACAACCTGCTGCCAATGAGTGTCTCTAATTTATCACCTCACACAGTGCCAAGAGCAGTGATTGACAGGTACCTAAGTATTTGCAGAAAATAAAAAAACTGTTAGTATGAGGGCAAACCTGCTCCAATGATACCATGGATTCTATGCTGCTTGCCTTGTACATCCATGCTCACCCCACTCCCCATGAGCCAAGGCCCCAGACTTGCTTGTCTTTTCCTCTCTCTCAAGCTCAGGAAGGCCAACCTCTTCCTTCCCTGTGTCTTGTCACCTACTTACTGAGACCCATGATAAGCATGTTGGGTTCAAGCCCCAACTTCATCTACAGTAGCATTTTAACCCCTCATTTTCCTATCCTGGGTTTCAGATGAAAAGGTGGCAATCGGATACCTCTGGGCACTTCTGACTCACACTGGAAGCCCCGTCAGACACAAGTGTACTGTCTGGTGATGCTAAGCCATCTCTAGTAGCCCACAGTTGAAGTGGGGACCCTGGAAAGCAAGTTTACAAGATCACATGACACAGCAGTGAAGAGGCAGTGGGAAACAGGTGGGCAAGAGCCTAGCATAAAGGCCAGAAGGCCCATGACCCCCCAGCTACTTCATCACTGTGTGAGGGAAGAGGGCTGTAACTCCAGGGCTGAGAAAGGACTGATGGGGAGAAAGATTTCAGGGAGTCGCTTCTCCTAGCTCCTAGGCAGAAGGTGTCACAAAAATCTCCTATAGAATTTTTCCTTACTGAGACCCTAAATACTCTCTTGTGTTTATACAGGCCTTTCAAGTTTAGCCTCAGCCTCGCAAAGTACTTTCATGGGGGTAATCCTTTACTCTCCCATCAACTCTAAAAGGGGCTGGGAAGGACTGACAAGAAAACCAAGGGAGACAGGCCCAGTCTCGGATTGCACTCAGCCCACTAAGTTGGCAGCAGTCCTCCGTCTTATCCCAGGCCTCTGTCCTCTTAAATCAGTTAATGGGGGAACATGGCCCTTTTGCATCAGGAATGCCCTCTGTGGCTGCAGGGACACCTGCTAGACACCTGCAGCAGGAAGGGTGGTCTTTTTAGCTCCTATTCAGGGGAGGGGAGTAAGGAAGGAGATGGCAGCCTGATCTGGGTGCCTGTAATAACTTTTTGTTTTGGGGGATTTTTGTTCTTGAAGAAGTCTTTGAAAACAAGGGTAAAGTATTCTACTATCTCCTAGGGACAATTTAAACCCCATCCGCTTTCCATCAGTTCCCATTACCCTTCATATCCCACCTCATTCGTGAGGTATAGTGGGAATCCAATCCCAAGGGCAATAATCAGAGATGGGACTTTATTCCTGTGGTTAGGAGACCCCAGAATCCTGGAATTTGGTGTTAGAGTCCAACTGCCCATTTTGGTCAACTCCACATGCTTTCCAGCCATCTCTGACCCAAGTCATTTGCGAAGACTCTGAGGATGTCATGGATCCTGACTTGCTCCTCCATATTCAAAAAAGTTCCCCAGAATCCTGGAATTTGGTGTTAGAGTCCAACTGCCCATTTTGGTCAACTCCACATGCTTTCCAGCCATCTCTGACCCAAGTCATTTGCGAAGACTCTGAGGATGTCATGGATCCTGACTTGCTCCTCCATATTCAAAAAAGTAACACAAAAACAAAAAAGGAAGGAAAGGGAGGGAGGAAGGTGGGAAAAGAGGAACAGGGAGAACCAAGTCCCCAATCCAGAACCAGCAGCCTCTGACCCCCTTCTCTTTGCTAGACCTAAAAGGATTTCACTACATGTGAGTCAAACTTGGAGGACCTGGCTCATTTTCTTTCCCTAAAATAAGACAGCTGGTCTTTAGCCTTATTGCTACAGTGACCACATCCCAGCCCAGGGTGCTGGCACAGTTCCCAGTCAGCCACAGGGTGACAGAATTGCCTTCCGTCTCAGAGCCCTCAGCAAGGCCCCATCTCCCCTCCCAAACTCCTAGATTCTTGGCATGTCTTGGTCCCTTTGAGGAGACTGAAATGCCATGTTTCCTTCATGCCCGGAAAGTAAGGGAGGGAGGCACTAAAAAAATACAAAGATTAAATTTTAATAGGAAAAAAAGTCCACCACTTATTTCAAAAACCTCACCCTAAATGGTTAGGTGAGCACCTGCTAATTTGGGCACCACAGCTGATTAAGGGCTAAGGTGAGGTATCAAATTCCCCCCAAATGCAACACAAACCAATGCCCTAATCAGACTTTGACATGTTTTGTGCCTCGAAGAGGCTACAGGCTGCAGCAGTGTGGCCCCCGAATGTCTGACAGGGACTCATTGGTGAGGGATGTTGCTCTAATTGAAGCTCTGTGCTCACTGCGGTGTGACAACACCGTGCAACCTCACTGGGCCTGCTCTCCCATTTGGTAAGCAGCAGCTCAATCAAAGCCTAAGCTACCTCTTAAGGATGCTGTAAAGAACAGGAGATAAGATTAAAA